GCCTGGTTGATGTTTGCAGCTATGGCATTGCAACTCATTGTTTATATTATAGAATGCATTAATCATAATCTTCTGGTGTTTATAAGCATTCTGTACATAACATGCTACAATTGTTAGTTAACCATACTGTTTACATTTTTCCTTTTTCACTTTTAAGTGAGGGAAGGGCCTATAGTTAGGATGAACTTATGCATTTAAGTGCATCCAAAGTCCTCGTAAAAGCACCAGGCTTCTGAAAAAATTCAGAGAAAATTACAGAAGTCTCCCTGAGGAATGACCCAATATAGGAAATCCTGTCGAAAACCTTTTTCTTTTCTCCTTTTTTAAAGGAAACCTACAGAAAACCTGTAAGGTACTTATGAGTGTTAAATCTAACCCCAAAGAAAAGCAATTATATAGTGCGCATTCATTTTTACTTTGAGTTTCTTAAGCATACATAACCTATGAAGAAATAAAATAAATAAATCAAATTCAATGTAATTCAATATTCTTTTTAACTATTATAAAAATACATAAATTAATATATTAAATTAAAAATAAGAAATAAAAACTGCATTTAGTATTTTAGTTAATACCAAAAATAAAATATTTTACTTATTAAAACAAAGAGAAAAAATGACCTGACCATCACTGTTGTTGGAGGCTCAGACGTGAATTTTGTCTTGCAAGTTGTCTCCATCCTTTCCCCATGCATGACAAATCTAGCCACCACAAATGAGCCTAAAGCGTGATGTATCTGACTGGCATCCCGTGGATGCAACAATGCAAGCCTCGTGCAAACAAAGATTGAGCTAGCAATTCTGTTCTTTGATTTGACTTGTGCAATTGACCTGGGTACGCAAACATGAAGTTTAACTATTATGGTAATATAGTTGCTTTGTTCAGTATGTCTAATAATTATGCTGATAAAACAATCCATTTCTGCTTATTCCTAGAAGCTGAATGAATGCATAGTTTTACTCAAATCTTTTCATGGTTTCTTTTGGCTACTTTCCATGGTTGTGAATTGGTCCCCTCCGCTTTTGGGTACTTTATTACTCATATTTTGTGCAAAAAGAATGAAATGGTGATAGAAACTGATTTTATAGTAGCAGGAAAATTGTCTAGTATAAAGCATTTTGATATATTTGCTTAATAATGAATTTATGGATTACTTTTAATTGGGTTTTACAAATAATTTTGTTTCATATCTAGGGTTTTTTGGAGAAGTTTTTCGTGGTATATGGAATGGAACAGATGTTGCCATCAAGGTGTTTTTAGAGCAAGATCTTACTGCTGAAAATATGGAAGATTTCTGCAATGAGATTTCCATTCTTAGGTACCCTTCTATTTTCTATTTTATATATCTTCTATTTTATGTTTTCTATTTAGTTTTATTTATCTGTGTTCTCACTTTGAACTGCTTAATTCTGTGATATTTGTTTGCATATTCATGTCTTCACACAGCCGCCTTCGACATCCCAATGGTACTTTCTCCTGCCATCTTTCGGTTACAAATTTCATTGATTTCAAGATAGAATAGTATTTTCAGTTTTCCTAGAGCTCGAGAAACACAACCATGAATTAGAAGTATTTAGCTTATTTACTCCGTTGCTGATTTTGGGACTGCTGGGTTTTGCAGTTATCTTGTTTTTGGGTGCATGCATGAGGCCTCCACGTTTGTCAATGGTTACTGAATACATGGAGATGGGATCACTCTACTATTTGATCCATTTGAGTGGACAGAAAAAGAAGCTTAGTTGGCGCAGGAGACTAAAGATGCTGCGTGACATTTGCAGGTGTGTTAAGCCTGAACTGTTTCCTCGTGTTAAATCAAGCATGGATTTCTGCTTATGTTACACCTCAAGGGTTATTCCTTGTTCAATTTCTAACTAAAATCAATTGATCCTCATATGATGATTTTTTGTTTTTCATCACCTAATTCTTGAACTTGTTGTCTCCTATATTAATGATTTTAGGGCAGATGAAAATGAGGTTAGTCTTTAGTATTTTTTGTTGATTTTATAAGTACAGGGTTCACTCTCCCTCCCTGGAACTAGACCAACATAAATCATACTCGTGTTATAATAGAAACAGAACAATATTATAAACAAGGCACCAATGGGTTTCGGCTCTATAAAGATAGGTACCATTGAGCTATTAGGAGTCTAAATATATGTAGGATCCAAAAGATCCTCATCTTTTCCACAAAAAATGACTACTGATATAAGAATACAGGTTCCTCAACCAAAAATTCTGAACTTTTTGGAAGGTCAAAATATTCTTATGATGTGTAGGACTAGCCACTCCCTTTCAAGCTCTACCATGCCCAAACGTCATCCTGAATGAAGTGCACAACCACAAGTACCGCACTACTGCTCAGCACTGCCATCACACAACCTTCGGGTGCAGCTGTATCATAAGAGTAGGCAGGGAGATTATACTGCACTTTTATGCATATTGCTGCATTAAAACTGTTGTTTTCCTGGACAAGATTATCTAAGATTGAGCTGACATATTGCTTCTTATGCAAGAAAATCTATTCTATATTGAGCAGAGGTTTTCCTGATGATTTTCCGGGTAAAGACATGAAAGTTGTCCTTAGCGACAGGCCTGAAGTATTTCAGAAACTTGTTATCATAGTTTCTGTTTTCAAAGAGAACCCCTTCTTGGGTTCTTTTCTAACAGCCTTGCCCCTTTCCCTATGCCTAAAATTCGACCCCATACAAGCAGCATAGAGATATCCTTCCTCAGTTCTCTAAGAAAAAAGGAGATATCCTTCATCAGTCATTAAAATTGTGACCTCAGCTGAAACTCTTCAAGTAGACAACTTTGAAACAATCTGACACCTAAGACCCATATTGTGGTTCTTTCATGTTCTGAGAATGCGATCTGTTGAAAATTTAATGAAGTGTTTTTCAGAGGAAGCTATTTGGGTGTTGATTTTTATTTCCTCTTGTTTCGAAACATTAAATAGTTCCATTTGTAGTTAAACTTTTTAGGAAAGTGGGTAGAGCCAGTTAATGAAATTGATTTGTTTCCTTCATATAGAACTTTTTTTGAAAGACTAAAGAATCAAAGGTGGTGAATAGCACGCTAGAGCAAAGATAATAAATTACTAGTTTGACTTCTGAGTTTCTGATTACAAAATTCGTATAAATACCATTAGTTGTAATTTTCTAGTGGTTTATTGTAATTTTTCTTAAATAAAAAGTATGGTATATAGTGGTTCATTGTAATTACTTATACAATTAAATTTTTATTGGAATTAGAAGAGAGGTCATCTAGCTATACTAAAAATAGGTAAGGGAACAATATAGATATTTGTGGCAATAAACCTATAAAGTGATGATAGCTATGCTATGGAGTGTCAACTAAATTTTAGTTACTTTAGCAGCAGCTAGAGTAAAGAATAAAATAACCAGAAAACTGTTTATTTGAATTGTAAACTAGCATAATAACTAAAAACTAGTCAGTTATAGCTCAAGTACAATTTTACAATGTACTGGGATGCCAAACAGCTAATCAATTATATCTACTTGTCATATGCTAAATTAGCCAAGCAATGTACCGCATTTTCGTACCTATACCTTGATCCACAATGTGCCATGTTCTTGGTAACACTATCGTTGATTCCTCCTGTTGGTAATGTTTAGGGAGCATGTTCATAAATTTTAAGTACCTAACAGTAGTTGCAGTACTAGAGCAGCATCAAGAATTAAATAAACGAGAAATATGTTTATTAGAATAGCAGAAGGGTATGGTGACTAGTATAATTAAATTAATTAATTATAACTGAACTACAATTTTATAACTTATCTGGGATCCCTAAGAGCAAGTCTATTATATCTATCATGTCATACTCTAATTAGCGTAGCGAGTGCCTTGTTCTCATATCCACACCATGATCCACAATATGCCATGTTCCTGGTAACTATGGTGTGATTATTTCTATTGGTTCATGTGAGGAGCATGTTAAAAAAAAAGAGCATTTTAGAAATTGTGAATGGTTTTTTTGGTTAGATAAATCAATAAGAGAAGGTAAAAGAATTTAAAGCATTTTTACTTGTGTTGGCTATATTACTAGTGACAACAAGGGGAATAGAATGGACTTTGGATAGGATTGTCTCAAAGGGAATGATATCTGCTGCCCCCATAAAGGCATGGCTACACTAGTTGGATGCTCTAGGACATGGGGTTCTATCAGGTCAATTAATCTGTGTATTAAGGGTATTAGACTATTTAAGCAATGTCTCAAACCTTTGAATACGTGGAAAAATTAAAAGTTTTCAGCATAGCTGAATTTGCATTTCGGAAAGCAAGATGGTAGATTTAATGTATGTTTTATGGGTATACAAAGAAGCTCATATTTTAATTGATCAACATCTTGAAGGATCTCTAATATACACTGACTAGAATTTTCAAATGACCACAAAGGGGGTTGATGTGCATACACCGTATGAAGATAATCCATCGAGATCTTAAAAGTGCAAATTGCCTTGTGAATAAGCACTGGACTGTAAAGATTTGCGATTTTGGGCTCTCAAGAATAATGACAGACACAACCATGAAGGATTCCTCATCTGCAGGAACTCCAGAGTGGATGGCTCCTGAACTTATTCGAAATGAGCCATTCACAGAAAAATGTGACATTTTCAGCCTAGGGGTGATCATGTGGGAGCTCTGCACCCTAAACAGACCATGGGAAGGGGTGCCGCCAGAGAGGGTAAGCTGAGACACTTGAGTTGTCATTTCATTATTTCAGGAGATAAATCCATTTATAGATAATAACCAGACGTGTAGCTTTTGTTTTGGCTTTTCAGGTGGTTTATGCTGTTGCAAATGAGGGATCCCGGCTAGAGATCCCCGAAGGTCCACTTGGCAGGCTAATTGCAGGTTTATCAAAGTTCTAGATTTGCCGAGGGCTAAATGAATTATTTTTATGCATGTTCTCTTATAAAGTGTATTTTTATGAGGCTAATCTTCATCTCACTACCTTTTCACTGTAGATTGTTGGGCAGAACCGCAAGAACGGCCAAGCTGTGAAGAGATACTTTCCCGTTTGCTCGACTGCGAGTATTCGCTCTGCTAAGGCGGATCCGTTGTGTATAGAAAACATGGTAGAGGTGTTACAATATGTTCTCGGCTTCATAAGTTTGTAAACCATCATGCTTTTCCCAATCATTGTAAAAACATAGAATGTTTCATCTCTCAGTTTTCTTTTCAATGGGAGCAACTCCATTTCTTTGTGCAACCAAATAAAAAAAAAAAAGTGAAACTAGGGTTTAATCTCATTGATTCATCTAATCCAACTCTTCAAGAATGCAAAATTATTAGCTGCTTTTGTCAGTATGGAATGAGATGGAGAAATTACAATATGGGTACAGCAGAAACAGGATATTTTACATTTTTACAATTTTTGCACTAGGACTCCCAGACTTCATTATTGAGCTGACAATGAAGAAAGATTTGATAATTCACTAGGTTCAATCCGGTATCTGCCTCATATTCAATGCATCCTCAAAGCGGCTGCATGACTCAACTCTCATCTCTGTACTCATATCATTATCCGGAGCTGGATAGTACTCCTCTCTCAGCTGCACATTCCTGAGATTGGTAATCCTAAGCAGGAACATCATGAAATGCTCATGAGCAGTACCATAAATGAAAAGCGTTCTCAGGGTGAGACATTCAGCAAGCAAGCCAGCTGCTGGCAGCGATAGACTCCTTTGGTTTACATCCCTGTCTTGAGGCGGCCAGTAATGAAGTTCATTGAGGCTCAAATTCTTAATCCCTCTCAAGATGAACCTCTCCCACAAGCTGAGGTCCATTTGCCCTGATGGTGCAGTGAGTGCATAGCCTATAGTGTCGCCACAATCCAACTTCATTTTCGAAAGCATAGGGTATCGCACAAGGCAGCTCAATCCAAAGGCAGGTTCTGATGGTTTGTGGCGATCCTTGCAATCTCCCTCAACTTTTATACAAATCTCCGCTAAAACAGGACAATTCTCCAAACCTGCCATGGGCAATGGAGCCAGGAGGTCACCAACATTAATCCAAAGAGACAGGTAACTCAGCTTATCCCATCTCTTGCACCAAAAACCATTACCATTGCGATGAACATAGGAGCAATCTTCGTCCAATGCGTACTTCGATCTCTTATTCTTGTTGCTCCAATCTCCGTCTTTAATTCCATCGTAACTGGATTGACCCACCTCACCTCCCTCTTTCAGCCCATCCCACACACAATCAATATGCAGTCGCTGAATCCGATCACGAATTGGCTCCACAGCACGCAGAGACGAAGAAGCATCAAGATTCTTGCAGCAGGAAATCTTCACCTCCACCAGTGTGTTCCGGAGTAATGAAGCCATAGTCCTTAACCCATTCACAGTAATCATCTTACACCCTTCAACTTCAAACTTAGCCAACTTACAACACCCTCTGCCTATAGCCACCAACCCCATATCCGTCAAGTCCCATGAATTCTTTATAGACAAAGATTTCAAATTCCCACACAAGGCAACTCCAGCGAGCTGCCACTCACTGGCCGAGCAGATCCCATGGAATTGCCCTAATTTAAGCACCCTCAACTTCTTGCATTTTGAATTCAAAACCTCCAATGCAAACCCACTCTCCCTCACGTTCTTCGCAACGTCCAAAACCAGTTCCTCAAGCAGAGGCAAGCTTGAGAAAAACTCCACCAGCGTTGCTCCGGTAATCCTCGCCTCCTCTGACGTTAACTGCTCGCTCTCCGGATTTCCTCTCACCTTGGACAACGAAGATGTATCCACCAAATGGAGAACCGACAATTTTTGGCAGTTACTCGCTATGGCCATCAAAGTCTCGTCCCCGACAAATCCAATGTACCTCGGGTCGAATATACAGGCTACAAGAAACTTGTTCAGATTGGGACAAGCACGAGCTATGTCGCTAATCTCGTTCGCCTTGAATCCCTCCGACAAGGACGCGGTCAGCAGATCCAAGTGTGTAAGCGACGCCGATATAGCGGGATATGCTTGGAGAACGGGAGGTAAATCTTCAGTCCAGTAATAGAAAGAGGAAAGATCTAGATATTCAAGAGATTGGCAGTGCTCGAAGATGGGAATGAAGTCGTCGCCGATATCAGTTTGGGATCGCTGATGCCACCGGATCAGCTTGAGGCGGCGCAAACGAGGCCATTGGGGAAGAAGGTACTGGAGAGTAGAGGGAGATCGGGAGTAAACGGTGAGGGAGGTTACGGCAGGGAAGGCAACCTTGAGGCGGTAAGCGAGAAGGTGAGGATCGGAGGAAGGAGAAGAGAGTAGAGAGTGGCCCCATGGGGAAAGAACAGAGAGGTCCAAGTGGGTCACAGATCTGAAACAATTGGGGATCAAGAAAAGGTCCCGCGCGTTTCCCCGGAGCGTGAGAGAGTAGCGCGTTGCCCTTTCAAGTGCCATGAATTTCCGGCAAACCAGAGCCAGAGAATTCCGGCTTCTGGTATCAGTAACCATCGAAAATATGTGTAATAAAATCACATCGGGAAGCTCGTTTATCGTGGTTGTAGCAGCGGCATCGGAGATATTGTTCGCCATAGCTGTGAGTACAGGTTGTGGGGGATAATCAAGAGGTTTAGAGACTGAGAAAAGGAAGAAGAAGAAAGGGAGGTAGAGCCATGGAGGAGGAGGAATGGGTAAGGGATGAAGATTTTGTCGTGGAATGGAGACCCACGTGACGACGACGTATTACTTATCACAGTAGTCTGTGTTGAAAATTTTCACACCTTTTGTTGAAATTTTAGGGGTTGAGAGGCGCGTGAGAAGGAGAGTGGAATAGTGAGAGTGGGGGAATGGTGATGGAAAAGGGCAATCAACTGTTTATCCAAAATGCATTTGCTTTTTGCACCAACATTTTTCTGAGATGATCCGTTTCCTACCACGCAAACAAAACTCACCACACGTATTCCTACGCTCCCCCTCTCATTTTTTTTTTTTAAAAAATCTACTTTTATTTATTTTATTAAATATATTGTTGATAATTTAATTGAATAAATAAAAAATAAAAAATTATTTTTTAATATGTAGTAAATTGATGCCTTAAAAAATGTTAATAACACCTATTTTTAAATAAATTAAATTATCATACACCAATTTATATATTTAATAAAATTTTGAAGAGTTTTTAAATGATAAGAAGGCAAATATTAGAAGTTAAAAGTCTATTTTTTAATTTATGAAAATATTTTTTACTTTTACCAAACTCTATACTATTTTATTTCAAAAGTAACTTTTACTAAAAAATTAATTTTTGATTCTAAAGTATAAAAACTTGTAGATTAAACATGAACTTACTTGATAGTAAAAATGATGTATTAGTAACTAGTTGAAAAATAGAGTAGAGATGAAGCATATTCAATAATACTTTTATCCAAATAAGCTTATATAAGACGTATTGAGTGTGATGTGTAAGCGATCATTAATTTTGAAAAATTTATATGATTAAACATAATGATTTATGTACAATATTATCTGCAATTAAAAAGAATTCAAGAAGATCTACTAGACGAGATTACAGAGTAATATTATTATACGATTGATAAATTTAATAATCAATAAACAATGACTCAAGATACGTGATAATAAAATGCCATATTGAATTACTAGATTTTCACAATTATAATTGTAAAGAGGGATTTGTTCACACGTTGAGAACATGATTTATCCATCTAGACTTCTGCATGCTACTTATAAGCTTAATAAAGATGCAAACTTTTATTTATATCCTAATCTTTTGACGATTATGATACTGTTACATTCGATACTATAAAAATATATAAAAAACTTGCATGCTAGTTAGAAAAATTATAAAAAGTTGCCATCCATGTAAAATTTAGGACCTCATTAATTATATAATTATGAAATCCTCGTAAAGGATTCAACTATTTATCCCAATGAAAGTTTGAAAAACTACATATGTTACAAGAAAGATCTTAAGACTCTAACATTTTTAATAAAAAGTTAGTGCTCTTGTTCATTGTCTTTGGGTTAGTTCCTCTTTCCAAGTTTTAAAAGTGCCAAGTCTTTTATCATGAGGTTTCATAATTTAATCCATTCATTTTGCATCAATTTATATATTTTATTAGTTAATGAAGTTCATAAAATGACAACAAGGTATCACATGCACATGAAGCTTTTAGCCTACGATGATGATGTTAAGTTCCATGTCGTAGAGAGTACAAAGCAAGTATTAAGAACAAGGAGAATCACCACCTAGATAGAACTCGAGAAAAAAATTATATAGCTTGATCTCTTAAAGAGGATTGAAAAATCATCCTAGTTAAGAGTTCAAAAATCGAGTACAACTTAAGAAAAATTTTAGATATCTTGAACTGCTCCAATTATTAAAGTCAACTTAATCATGATAAATACATGGCTAGATATCCAGTCATACGACATGCATCACGCATATATACAATAAAAGGAACATTTATGTTGATGAGCCACATAAAGAATACACAATATTCATACTCATTATACATAAGATGAATAATATCCGTCATCATAAATACTCAAATAAATAAACAAAAAAAATGATATTTTTTATTAATAGAGAGGTTTAGTTGATTCGACCGAATCATAGAACCTTAAAAATTTAATTACATGTAACTTTGAAGATGAGTGACGTATTTGGACCTATATTAGAAAAACATAGTCAATGCAATAATTAAAGCAATAGTAACTGACTTTAAATTAAATCAATAAATAAGACAAAATAATTATTGATATCCTAAATCTAAATAGGTCTTGTAGGTTTAGAATGTGTTAAAGAATACTAAAAAAGATAATGATTAGACAATTAGCTATAGTTTGAACATGTTCTTTTGTCTTCCAAAGAAGATGATGGAGAGCTTTATTTATAAAGCTCATGGAAGAGAAGAAAAAGACCAAAATGATCTTCATGTAATTACCAAAAAGTGCTTTTTTATTCGAGTTAATTTACCACAAGTTAAATGGTGTCTAATTAAAAATCTATAAATAATAGTTTTTAATTATATAATTAGAATAGCTTTGATCACGAGACTCTATGATGTTATGATCCAAAAGTTATCATTAGGTAAAACTATTTATGGCTTGTACATCTTATAGCACAATCGTGTCTGAAAGAGATACCTGTGGATGAATGACTTAGATGACTTTGGGTCATGCAAACTTTCTTAAGGGCCAGAGGACCTTAAATCATTAGTTTAACTAATTTGCTTGAGTGCTTTTGATCATTTAAATTTTTGGATTAACTAAGTGTAGCCGGTTTATTTTTAAGAGACATTTCGAGATTATTAAATACTTTGATTCTGTATTAAATTCATATAAAATCTCAACAAATATGTATTTTAAAATCAAAATTTATGGAATATAAAATCTATTAGTTCAATTTGGGATGCACATAATTCTATTTAAGGTAAATTTTTATGGTTTAAATAAAATTTACACGATCGGCATAAATTAATAAATGAATTTTATAAAAATTTATGAATTTTATTGTATACATATTCTAACTATAAATTTCTAAATTAATTCTCCAAACCTTCAAAATTCATTTCCAACATAGCATAAATCTTAATTTCAATAGTAGAAATAAGTTAAGCCCAAAAATACAACCAAATCCGAATTCGACTGTTGAATTCAAAGAGGCATACAAAATCACAAACACAGCCCACAAAATACATAGATTAGTCACAATCCATAAAATATCCCCCAACAAAGTGATAGTTTAGATTGATCACACCTGTCCACGTGTATAATATATATATATATATATATATATATATAGTTGTGTATCATTTATCTATTACATGATAGAGCAAGCATGGGGATTTTCATCACTGAATTTGGAGCCTGTTTGGTGATCAAAAATGGAAGAATGAAGAGGTTGGCCATGATAAGAAACATCACTACTATCATATCCATGCTTGTAGTAATTGTAAGATGAAGAAGGTTGAGGAGCAAAGTAATGGTTATTAGGGTTTTGGCCAGTTATACACTGTTGTTGATTGTAGTGGTGGTGGTGGGGATTATAGGGCAATTGCCACAATTCTGCCCTCCGTCCAGTCTTTCGAACCGTCTTTAGTACCTTCTTCTTCTCTGCCCATCCGGTCACCGTCACCTTCTGCAGTCCCATATCGATTTCAACACTGTCCACCCCTGTGTACATACAAATAAATAACCATAATAATGTTTTCATGCACAAAAAAACCCCCTAAATTACTAAAGTTAAATATTTAATTAAGTAGGTTTTACCTTTGAGGTTTTGTAGAGCAGTCTTTACTTTGTTCTCGCAACCGGGACAGTCCATATGCACTCGCATTTCAGTGATCTGATGAAATTATATATATGATCCGTGTTTATACCTCAAGACTTAGTAATAGGATTATAAGAATCATATATATATACATACATATATTTATATACATAAATTTGTCTAGTGAACTTTTTAGCAGTATCAGAAACGACTGTACATATATATTTGTATGTATCTAGTGAACTTTTAGCAGTATCAGAAACAACTGTACGTACATATATATATATGTATATGGTTTTAGTCCAAAAGCAAAATAACCCGTCAAGATAAAGAAATTGCTTACCGACGTCATTTTGATCTTGAATCTCGAAAGGCTTCCAGAAATCCAGAGAAGATATTGGTCTGAAGTTGAAGCTTAAACGGAGTGAGGTACCGAATTCTGAAAGGGATTTTTGATATATATATATATATATATGTATATGCGGTTTTGAAGATGATATGAACGTGAATACAGATATATGTATATATATTAGGTGCTGCTCTCTCTCTTTCTCTTTCTAATATATATATACATAGAGTTATATTTTGGTGAGTTTATATAATATAATATTGGCTTATTGCACCGACTTTTTCTTTGAGTGTTGAACAGAGTCTGAGATCTCGAAGCAATGCTTTAGCAGACGTTAATTTGCTTGCATGGACATTCACCTTACCCATCCCATATTGAATTTTAATTTATTAATTTAAATTAAGTCAAAATATATTATTATTATTTTCTTAAATTATGGTATATATATATGTATTGTAATTATTAAGACATGAAATAATTGATACGTACTCCATCTTCCATGTGCATGGATAGTATCAAGCATTAATTAATACTAATAATTACTTGCTTATTTTAATTATACTAATTATTTTTTAATATTAGTTTTATAAAATATCATTTCACATGTCTACCCACTCAAATTTCAACCACGACCTTATAAGAATTTGAGAATTGAATTCTTGCGGTTGGGACGGATCTTGTTTGAAGCTCCTCATATTTTCCTCAATAATTAAAGTCATACACTATTATTTTCTCTTCAAACCTACCTTTAATAATACTAATTATAATTTATTATGTAATAAAAGATTATAAATTCGAGTTTAATTATATTTTTTATATGTATTTTTATTTGTATGCTATTTTTTTAATTATTTTATGATTGATATGTGTATGTTATATAATTTAATAGATAAATATACTTATTTATTGTTTTAGAAATTTTTTTTATCATACGTTAGTTTAAGTAAGCTTCGTATGATAAAATATTATACTTGTAAATTTAATTTAAAAAGACTATTTTTTTATATATTATTTATGTACTTTATTGATCGATTGCTATAATATATCAATCATCTAGGGAAAGAGTTTATAATTTATCAAGATGACATTCAAAAGATTATTGTGACTTAAATACTATTGAATCTAGATAGAATTATAATGGATAAATAATTCACAAAGTGTGTTTATGTAACGGCTCTGGAAATTAAAAAAGAAATATATATAATAATCTGAGTGCGGAAGCAAAATAAAAAATTTAAGTTAATATCTCTTACATAATAACTTAAAAATACTAAACAATATCAAAAAAATAAGTTTTCTGAAAAAAATGCTAGAAATAAAAGAAGTATAAAGAAAACTATAAGACGTCTAGGATCTACTCACCGTCTTCTTGTGGGTCGGGCTTAGGAACCTACTCCTTTTGATATGAATGTGTTAAATAAGGAATGAGTTACACTAACCCAATAAGGGCATCACACTATTCACCGTCACAGAAGTAAATGTTGGTAGAAAATCAAAAACAACCAATGGAGTATAAGTTTTAAATAAATTCATTTATCAATAATCAAACCATTTACCGTCCACTTACCTCAGTGAGATTTATAAAAAAATACGATCCATGGAAATAATAACATCATAGATATCATGAATTCATACAAAATCTGTAACATAACACATGTCATACTTTTATATTTCAATCATCAAACAACAGTTGCCCCCTTTTCATCAGCCTACTAGTATCTATGGGGATCCATAGGGGTCCCCGCTACACGTGAACCATTCCCTTAACAAACTTAATTTCCAGGGTCGTCCCCATACTCTATCCGGTATGGCACCAAACAATAAATCTCAATACCCCATCTGGTATGAGGGTAAAGCGGGCCGTCCTCATACCCTATCCGGTATGAGTGCCAAAACATTTAAAGTCTTCATACTCCGTTTGGTATGAGACAACATTCCCGGTAGGGTTTCTTATAGACCCAGTCCGTCCACCATCTCTTAGGATATCTAGTGAGATTATCATCTTATCCAATTATCAATTCACACCCATTTTCTATTTTTTTTTAGTCTCCATTACCCATTCAAACATGAATACTTAAACAAGTAACGCGTATCCAACAAAGCAAGCATATCTTAGATTTATAAAATCAAGCAGTAGTGAAGTAAACGGTGATTCATGCATTCAGATCATAGAATAAATAAATCAGATACCATATGTATTTAAATTGTAAATAAATCAATAGGAATTAACAGAGAAATATGTCGATTCAGGTAAATGTTATAAATGTGATTCACTAGTAAATTTAATGTAATGAGATAATCAAAATATTTTTTTTGACAAAATAAAACGATTAAACCGAACTTTTATTTCGTTGTGACTACTTTAATTAAGTGAATTTTAATTATCGCAAGATATGCGTTCTATTATGATACATTCTGACTTATTGAGATTAAGTCTAACTTACTTATTATAACTTCGACAACCCAAATAAGTTAAATCATTAATTTTATTGAATCAAACATTATAAACCGACTATCATCAACATGCAATACACCTATAAAGTGACGAATTATATATTTTTAGTAAGTTTAGACTTATGACATTCAAATGAGGTACAAAAACTTAGTTGGTCAAACACATTAATTTAATATAATTTTGTTCTCTAAGTTTTCAGTAAGTGTATAATGTTAATAAATGTGATTCACTAGTAAATTTAATGTTAATGAGATAATCAAAATATTTTTTTTTGACAAAATAAAAAGATTAGACCGAACTTTTATTCCGTTATAATTACTTTAATTATGTAAATCTAATTATCGCAAGATATACATTCTATTATGATACATTCCGACTTGTTAAAATTAAGTCTAACTTACTTATTATAACTTCAACAACCTACTAATAAGTTAAATCATTAATTTCATTAAATCAAACATTATAACTCGACTACCATCAACATACAATACACCTATAAAGAGACGAATTATATATTTTTAGTAAGTTTAAACTTATAACATTCAAATGAGGTATAAAAACTTTAATCATTAAACTACTGTATTAATGGTAATTAGATAATCAAACTTAATTGGTCAAACACATTAACTTAACATAATGTTTTCTCTAAATTTTGAGTAAGTGTATAAATTATGTGTTCAATGTACCCAAGTAAATTTTAAGGTTTAATTTATAAGAGAATTAATTTTAAGAAGAGGTCTTGATTGAAGAGTTCAATCAAAAGTTTTGAAGGCAAAAACATTGTTTTATTTTTTTTTTTCTAATATTTTTTGACTTTGAATGCATGTATGTAAGAACTTTTATTTATTGTCTTTTTTTTTTTCATTTTTTTAGTGAGTGCTTTGCTTGATATGTTTTTTTTTCCTGTTAAAATTGTAATCTTGTAAGAAAATTTTGTCTTGATATGAATTTTAATTTTGAATGATGTTAAAATAAAGAAAATTACATTGTAATATAGTGGTTAAATAAATAAGATAAAATAATTTTATTTTCTATTTATTGTATAGGTTTTACTTCGAACGTAATTCAATTGCATGAAACTTTTTTATTGAATAAATAATATTTAAATTATAGTACGATGATATAATGTAATTTTTTAAACTTAAACAAAAAAAAATTTATGATTAGAAAATTTAAAAATAAAAGAATATTTATTCTAACTATACATGTATATGTACACAACATATATGGCAAAAATTTAATGTTAAGACAAATCTGTATTTATAAGGTAAAAAGATATCTATAAACATACAAAAAATTTCATGAGAGCACACAAGGAAATGAATGTGGACAGAAAAAATGGTGATATATATATATATATATATATATATATATATATATTTGCTGGAATATAAAAAAGAAATTAATTATTGGGTAAAAAAATATCTGCTTTTATAGTAAATCATAATTTGAAAAATCTAAAATGTTTTATAAGGAAAAAATTATCTATTAATATTAAATTTATTAGTAGATTTATCAAGTCTTTTCACATTTAAATTTATAATTTATCAAAATTAAAAAAATTAAAGTTAATGGTGTAATTTAACGGATTAATTAGTATAAATTTTGAAAAGAAAATATCAAAACTTGGCATATTAGGACTGACAGACTTTGAATTTCGTCATATCTATACAGAAAATTGACTTGAAACTTTGCATGTGTATAATGCCCTATCTTAACAGATACATCCCACTGTATGCTCCACTTTCCAAATCCATCTTCAAAACCACTACAAAATCATGGAAACCCAGAAGCAAATCATAAAAAAAATCCAAACTTTGCACTAGATTTTCAAGAACAAAATGAATTTCAAAAGAGGAGACGAATCAAAGTGAGCAACGGAGAGCAGGGTTATCTAGGCTCCTATTACGAAGTAAGAGTGGCCAAGAAAATCAACAAAACTATGTTTGTTGTGGAGTACAAGACTTTTGTTGAAGAAGATGGGTCAAGACCTCTGAGAGAGGTTATCGACATAGGCAAGATCAGGCCGAGACCGCCGGTGGTTCCTTTTCCGGCTGAAGATTTGTCTCCAGGTGATATGGTTGATGCCTTTGATTATGATGGTTGGTGGCGTGGAACTATCTGTGAAAAGAAAGGGTATGGGTATGTTGTGCATTTTCATACCACTGGAGAGACCATGACTTTCAAATTTCAACCACGACGTTAAAGAATTTGATAATTGAATTCTTGCGGTTGGGACAGATCTTGTTTGAAGCTCCTCATATTTACCTCAATAATTAAAGTCATACACTATTATTCTCTCTTCAAACCTACCTTTAATAATACTAATTATAATTTATTACGTAATAAGAGGTTATAAATTCGAGTTTAATTATATTTTTTGTATGTATTTTTATTTGTATGTTACTTTTTTTATTATCTTATGATTGATATATGTGTATATATATATATTTTTTAATTGATAAATATACTTATTTATTGTTTAGAAAAAAAATTTATCATATGTTAGCCTAAGTAAACTTCGTATGATAAAATATTATACTTGTTAATTTAATTTAAAAAAGACTATTTCTTTATATACTATTTATGTACTTTATTGATCGATTGCTATAATATATCAATTATCTAGGGAGAGAGTTTATAATTTATCAAGATGACATTCAAAAGATTATTGTGACTTAAATACCATTGAATCTAGATAGAATTATAATGGATAAATAATTCACAAAGAGTGTTTATCTAATACTAATGTTTGTATGTGTCATTATTTGAAGACAAATTTATTGTATTGACTCAAAGTGTATATGCTTTCATAAAGGTGTATTAGTATGAAGTAGAATATAATCATATCTATATTCTAAGAATCATATCCAATGAGTTTATTAACTATTATAATTTGAATACATGACGCGTAATAAACTCAACAATTTAAGTAATCAGGATAAGAAGAAATTGTAAATAATTAGATTCTTACTTGACATGTAATAAACTCAAAATTTTCAGTAAAGGTTTTAGAATTAATGAAGAATTTTTTTTTAGCGTTTAGGACTTAAGGTTGATTTTTTTCTTGCAAATAAATAATCAAAGAACTAACAACTTTTTATTAGTATAAACATTGTGAAGCTATCTACATTAATATCTAAACTATTTACATGTATATGGATATAAAATAATGCGTGTGTACTGCCAAAGAACAATCAATTAATAAATATAGTTAATTAAATTGTAATGTTAATAAATGTGATTAATTAGTAAATTTAATGTTAATGAGATAATCAAAATATTTTTTTTGACAAATAAAAAGATTAAACCGAACTTTTATTCCGTTGTGACTACTTTAATTAAGTGAATTTAATTATCGTAAGATATGCATTCTATTATGATACATTCTGATTTATTGAGATTAAGTCTAACTTACTTATTATAACTTCGACAATACACTAATAAATTAAATTATTAATTTTATTGAATCAAATATTATAAACCGACTATCATCAACATACAATACACCTATAAAGTGACGAATTATATATTTTTAGTAAGTTTAAACTTATGACATTCAAATGAGATATAAAAACTTAATTGGTCAAACACATTAACTTAATATAATTTTTCCCTAATTTTTGAGTAAATGTATAATGTTAATAAATGTGATTCACTAGTAAATGTTAATGAGATAATCAAAATATTTTTTTTTGACAAAATAAAACGATTAGACCGAACTTTTATTTCGTTGTGACTACTTTAATTAAGTGAATTTAATTATCGCAAGATATGAGTTCTATTATGATACATTCTGACTTATTGAGATTAAGTCTAACTTACATATTATAACTTCGACAACCCACTAATAAATTAAATCATTAATTTCATTGAATCAAACATTATAAACCGACTATCATCAACATGCAATATACCTATAAAGTGACGAATTATATATTTTTTGTAGCGCCCGGACCGAGAAGGAGGAAAAAAAAAAAAAAAAAAACGAACCGGGGCCTGCCACGTGGCAAGACCACGTCGCTCCGAAAAGGGGCCACGTTGGCGATCCGCGTGGGTGAGATCGGACAGCTCAAATTCAATCAAAAACGAACGGCCCAGATTAAAACAAAATGAACGGTTGAGATCAAAAGGCAAGGGGTTATAAATAGAACCCCCACACCAGACCACAAACCCTAGCCGCCTGCCGCTCGCCGGAGAAGACAAACCAGAAGCCGGCCGCCGCCACCCGCCGCCGCGCCGGGGAAATTTTCGACCGCCGATCGAGGTAAATTTCATACCCCCGACTCGTTTTTCCACGCTGATTCCTCTTGTGGCCGGCCGGAATAAGCAGCCAAAGGCCAGCGGCGCCGCCGCGCCCCCTCTCGGTTTTTGCCTCCGATGAGACCTTTCCCGGCCTCCGTTTGATGCAATTTTTATATCATCGTGATCACCATTCTTTTCTCTACAGGTTGACCGGAGCCGAATCACCAAAACACGAACCTCGCCGGAGAGCCGCCGCACCCGAGAGCGCCGCCGCCGGTAAGTTCCGTTTTTCCGTGATTTTTTTGGCCCCCTGAGGGCTCTAGGGTTATTTTCTCACAGGGACCGATGCGAGTGTGGCCGAATTCGGCCAGAAACGGCCGAAAACAGCCAACCCGAGGCGACTCGCCGCCGCCAGCGGCGGCGCCGTCGCCGGAGCACGGCGGAGCCGCCGTGCCGGAGTTGCGATTTGGGCCGAAAGGGGCCCTGGGCCTAATTTGGGATTTTTTTTGGAACACGTGCATATACCAGTAGTGCGTTTCAGTTCCCCGAGGAAAATTCAGGAAAAATTAGGGATAGCCTGCAAGCGCACTGCAAAGCCGTGTTCGGACCCCGAAACGAGTAAGGACCCCTCATCCTATTTCCTATCACGGTATTAAAGTTCAAAATGATAAAACGGTATCTCTTGAATTAACGCATGTGTGAAATTGCTTAAGGTTGCTAATGGAGCCCAAGTCTAGTGTGATTGATGATTTACTGTTATTTGGCCTGTTTTACAGCTTTAAATGCATTATGAGGTTTGATTTATTCATTTTATAGTTTCGAGTGCATATATTACTGTTTTATTAATTATGGGTTGAAAGACTGAAGAACTGATACTGTATGTTGTCTGTTTGGCATGAATTACGATTTGCTTGTTTAAATATGAATTGATGATGCTTATTGAGAAAAAGGAAAATGAAAGATTGTGTAGACTGATAATTGTATGATGGAGTCAGCCTGACGAGATATCCTGAGAGATGGTGGACGGACCGGGTCCGTAGGGAACCCTACCGGGATTGTGGTCTCACATGCCGGACGAGGTATGGAGATCTTATGGTTTGGCGCCCATACCGGACGGGGTATGGGGACGGCCCGTTTCACCCTCATACCGGACGGGGTATTGAGGTTTATGGTTTTGGCGCCCATACCGGACGGGGTATGGGGACGGCCCTGGAAACTGATTATGAATGTTAAAGGTTAACGGGTAGCGGGACCCCTATGGACCCCCATGGATACTAGTAGGCTGGTAAATGAGAAAAGGATATGTGGTATAATGATTGAATTACAAAAGGCGTGATAAGTGCTATGTTTTACAGCTTATATTATTCCATGATTGTGATAATGTTATTGTTTTCTTATATTATTTCATGAATTCCACCGAGGTAAGTGGATGGTAAAGGTTTTATCATGAATAAAAGGATTTGTTGTAAATCATGCTCCATTGGTCTTTTGTGTTTTTCTACCCACCTTTACCTCCGTGACGGTGAGATATCGTGATGTTCTTACTGGGTTAGTGTAGCTCACTCCTTATTTAACCATTTCAGATCAGGAAGACATGGTTCCCGAGCCCGTTCCGCAGGAGGACGACGAAGGGGATGCTTAGAGATTCTGTAGTCATACTCATAGTTTTATTTTCGAGTTTCTCTTTTAGTTAGTTTAATCTTTTATATTTTAAGTACGTTTTTGGTTTTCGTGTAAGGGATGTTAACTGAAATTTTGATCTCGCTTCCGCATTTTATGTGTTTAAATACTCATTTCATTTTCACATTTCCGGGGTCGTTACAT